CTCAGATAAACGAGAAATTATATCCCATTTATGTATGGTATATCAAAGTGCATAAATACATTCTACTGTCATGCATAACTAATTAAAACAAATAAAAAAATCTAAAAATCAGAGTGGTTTGAAACACAAGCTCATTTCTTTTGTGCAGTTYGGTGTTCAGGGAAAGGGGTTCTACTCTACATCATGCTAGGAAGCCAGAGAGCAGAGGAGAAGAACACTCTGGAGACCCACGACAGCCTTGGCTGGCACTACCAGATACAGAAACGGCAAACATCGTCTCTGCTCTGAGATCTGCAAGAGAATTCTGCTGCATTCCCAGGAGGTGGAGAGCCAGGATCATATACCATACCTCCCATGGTTGGGTCTGTCACTTGCCACCAAAATAATGCTGATTAGTAAAATCTATGAAGAGAGGCGAGACTAGAAAGACCATAATCCAACCAAAGGAGAAAGTGGGTTCAGAGAGAGAAGAATAGAGAGCAATARTCTCATGGCTGGGGAATGGAATCTCTGAGTCAGAGCTTCATCATCTAGAAACCAATTCTGCTTTGTTCAGCTCTTCACACCAGAACTACTACCTGCAACTCCAAAGGCAGGCTCTTAGCCTCTGGGTCATTTTCTAGGGGAAGGGGGCTATGCAAGTGTAAATCTGTAGGGAGAGGGTATATGCAAAGCGTTTTATGAAAAACCAGTAATTCCAGTTGCCCAACATATTTAATCTGCCCAAGTAGAGTGACCACACAGAGACCCAGTTTTCCCTGGCGAGTGCTGATGTATGACAATCATGAAATTTTTAACATCCTCTTACTCTGAAATTTCCCTAGTTTGAATAGCAAATTATATGGTTATCCTGACTATAACCCAGGTTGGCCTTGTTTTAGAGGCTGGATGACCTTGCCTATGTCTTAAAGGTCATCTTCTCGCCCCCTCCCCCCGCAGCAACCTTATGCACGAGTCAAACTAAGCCACTCATGGAGACTAAAGGCCCCATGAACTCAGGCCGGTGGCCCTCAACACAGACCTCCCTGCCATGATCTTGTCCTCCTTCAGAGCTCAGTGCCATAGTGACCCCCTGACAGACTGTTCCTCCTCTGGGCATCACTAACCCCTCACATGACTCATGCACACATCATGTGTGTCTAACAACATACAAATGTGATTGAACACCCCCTTCCCTAAAATCCTCTAATGGCTTCCCAAGTTTCTTAGGCTAGGAAAGGCCACGTGGTCTTTGACCTTCTCCCTTCTCAGTCTCCATTCCCTTTGCTTTTGGGGCTCTCAGTTTATGGACACCCTTCATAGGCGTCAATCTTCCACTCAGCACAGGAAGGCACACTTGTTTCTCATTGCCTAGAMTCTCTTCCTTCTTCAACTAGATAATCTTACTCATATGTCAAATCTCAGTTAATCAAGATTTCTCCAGGGAAACTGAGCTCCCACATCAGACCTTAAAATTGCATGTGGGGACAAGAAACCAAAAATGCCACTAAACATGATGAAACAGATGAGGATTTCCATGTATTATCCAAAGTCAGGAAGTGGGCAATTGTTAGTATTGCTATTTAGCAGGTTAAAAAGGGCAAGAATAGAATTTCTGTAATCCTGTTCACATTTCCTCATAATCACAAAGTATCTGCTTTAGCTCTAGACATTATATCCACATACAACGTGAGATGACACATAGAATGGTACCACCATTCTGGTTTGTTTTCTTATGTCCTCCAGTAGATTGTCACTCAAATCTCATAGGTTAGAATTGCTGTGTGGATTTGTTAGCCCCATGAAAAGCTGGGTGGCTGATTATTGTGCTGCATATCTTGCCACCCCCAAAGAAAATTTGGGTTCTATTAAGAAGAGAAAATAGAAAAATTTTTAAGGAACAGACTCTGCCAGGATCAAATCTCCTTGTTATAAATTCCCACAGCATCATGTACCTCCTGCTTGATTTTTAACAGATATTTTTTTAAATTTATTTTTCTCTCCCTTCACACTGTAATCTTCAAGTGCCCAGGAATTGGAAAATTATGTTTTGTTTATTGTTGTATTTCCACAGAACTCATATGCATTGATTGAA